TTTTTTTTTTCTTTTAAATACAAGATATTGTCCAAAATGTGTTCAAGAAAGTGTTAGTTCTTAAATTGAAATGGTAGAAGAGAAACACTTGTGTACATATTATTCTTGCTGTCTTCATTTAATTGTGACCACGAATATGGTAGCATGCTCAAGCTTGCATAACATAGATTTGGGGCATGCACTCACTTTACGATGAGTATTTTGTGCAATGAAACCTAATTCTGTGTCATTCTTTTCTTCAAAACAAAAAACTCTTAATGGTGCACTAGAGCTGCCTAGAATTGAAAATGAGATGGGAGTGGGCATAAATTAAACCTGATTTTTGAGAAGTTGCTGAAAAAAAACTATTTATTCAAATTATATGCCTGATTTATGAGATGCTTAAGCTTCATCACCTGTTGGCCCCAATATCTCGTACTGTTTCCATATTAAACTATCTTTTTTTGTTTGTTCTCTAATTTTGGCTTCACTGAAACATTTCTTACAATTCCACTGCCACCAAGACGCTATACAGGAATCCAATCTGTTGTACAGGAACTATTCTTGCAGAGATGAGGAGCATATGCGTGCTATTGTGTGCCAAAGAACACTGAATTTCATGATGCAGGTCAAATTGCAAATAGCAAAGTAGGAGCGAAAGCCCTTTTTGAAAGAGGGGAGATGACACTGAGTACAGCATCAGAGAGCATTTGGCGCAACAACATTTTGGTGGATTCTTTTTTCACTGAGGTTACTTCCAAAGCACTTGGCTTTGGTACTGCTGCTCCACCTTTGCTGATGAGCGCATCTGTGCTGGTGCACGCTGCAGCCTTGATGTACTCCCCCTCCCCAGGGCAGGAAATACAAATATCAGGAACTGTTTCAGGAGATCAGATAACTTGAAGATAAGCCTGTTCACAGCAGTGCATGACTTCAGTTTGGAGAGGACACATATGACTAAAGCACAGATGGAAGTGTGTCAGGTGCTGTTGTCTGACTAGTAAAAGCTCTTTACTCAATTGTAGTTTGTCCTCAGGTTGATGCCTAAGCTGAGCTAGTAATTAAAGATTTTTGACACTGTCAAATTGATTGGTAGCAGGACCAATATGTCCAGAGGAGCAAGTGGGAGAGAGCTGCACTGCAGGCTGGTATCTTTGCTAGTGTGACTGGTAGCTTATGTGCTGAATGATTGTTACTAGTAGGATGGGCTGTTGTCTTCTCAATAGATCTGGGCTTGCAGAGAACATGGTCTGAGCTAGGGTCTCTGCACTGTATCTTTGTGGGGAGGGAAGGGAAATGTCCCTTGTGGTGGAAGGGTCTGGCTATCCAGCTGACTTGTCTGAGCTGGATGCAGAAATTGCTTTTGGTGCATCAAAAGGAAGTTGCAGTATTTTGTGCACCAACATAATCTGTTGACTTTTTCTGTTGATCTATTCTTGGTGCAATGCTGAGCCCTGATGTTTGTCTACAGGAATCCCTTAGGAATGTCTTGAGCATTTTTAACCTCCTTCTCTTCCATGTAGGAAGAAAAAGAGATCCTCTAAGTAGGACCACCACCATCATTGTTGTAATGAGTATCTTGTAAGTACTGTTTTGCACTAAAGCATGGCTTGACTGGAGCTCATCTTCTTATTCATCTGTATTTGACTATATTTGCTTGTCCACACTGCATGGAGCAGGATAGCAGTGCAGGAATGTGAGTGTATTCAGGTATGAGAGAAATGAATTGACCTAAGTGACACGCACAAAATGAAAAAGCCGAATTGCCAAACTAGTCTGCCTCACTGGTTGGCATGTGTCTAATCTTACTATATATATATATATATATATATATATATATGTGTATATATACACACTATATACTATATATATATACACACACACATATATACACACACTTTCTATTATTTACTTATTTCTAGGTTAAAAAGCTCCAAGAGGAGGCACTACTGTTATTTAAGTCATGTAACATCACCCTGCGACAAAGCTATTTTCTAAGAACTGTCGGCAAAACTCTCCCCAACAATGGTGCTGGCCTGTGTCCTTTAAGCTCAAAAGGGATTCTCTTCTTCCTCTCTCACTGTAGCCCAAATCTTGGTTTTGCAGCACTGTAAGAGGAATAATTTAAATTCAGTCTGACTTCTTTTTTTTTTCTCTGTACAGTTTGCTGCTCTTGGTTTTACTGAATATAACACTGTTCCTCAAACTGTCAAAGATAGAACATGCAGCTCAGTCCCTCTACCATGTCCAGCTTCAGGAAGAAAGCACCTTGAAGTAAGTTGATCTTCGTATTCTTTCTTTCTTTGGTTTATGTCAGAATCTGATATAGACCTGGAACAATGAAACTTGGCAGTAAGTTTTCAAAAGCTGCTGGATGTTGTTGCTCTGAGGTCTGTGGTGGTATTTAGCCCATATCTGACTACATCCTGAAGCACTAAACTACTTTAACTCTCCCCCAAAAGCAATTTGTCAACCTTAGCTTGCAATTATCACCCTGTTGTGACTCATCTTCTGTCAATATAGTGCTGATAACCAGTGTATTTACTTCATGCTGGTTCACACAGAATAATCTCAAATGTAGTCTTTAAGATTCTCTTACTTTCCAGTTTTGTGAGTCTCTTACTAAATTCCTCCCTTCACTTCAAACTTTCATGCTAGGTGCCTCATATCTTTGGACCTGAAGATGCTCAGGTGTTGCTACCTCTCTTGGATGTAGTATTGGCAAACAAGCATTAAGACACATAACCTGACCATGAGTATGGAAGTTATGCAGTGGCTGTCCCAGGGTGATTTCCAGAACTCACTAAAGTAACTTCCTTCAGAAAAAAGATCTTGTCCTTTTAAGTGTGAGAACTAAATTATAGGCACAACGCATGTCCTTTCCTTCATGGCTGTTTGTTTGTTTTTCTTCCCTGAAATGAAAGGGCATTTGTAGACAGGCATGGAGGTCTGCTTGTTCTGTGTTTTCAGTGTAATCTCAACTTCTTTCAGCATATCTCCAGAAATGATATCAAAAGAAGAGATCCCTCAATATGATAAGGAGCAGGTTAAGCATGTGAAGGGAGTGCTGAGAGATTCAATCGAAATGCTTGAACAGGTAGGTCGCCCTGTCTTTCCTGGTGCTAGTCTCATTTCCAGTTCTTCTTCCTTGTCTGACCATAGTTTTTGTCTGATGTTTCACGATGATAATTAAATGTTTTATGACTACTTTCACCTTGGTTTGGTGCAAGTCTTAAATTTTGTACAGAGGCAATATTTATCTTTGTGATAGATTTATTTATTTATTTTCTTCTCCTGCCCCCCTTGCCCCCAGACTAAGATTAAATATTCACAATGGTTATCTAAAGCTGTCAAGTGAAGTTTATTGTTGAGGTGCATTGATGCAGTTCTGAATCATAACATAGCGAAGATTAAAGTAATTCAAAAATGATCCTCCTCTCTTCTAAAAAGAGTCAAGGCAGAGCATTAAGTACTTGCTTATCTCATGAGGTTTCTTAATACAGGTTTATCCTGTCCTTTGCTTTCCATGACCTTCTTAGATATATGTACAGCCTGTATGTTTTGGGAGAGATTTGCAGGGGAGGTTGCTAGAGCTATGAAATTATCACTTCTTCCCAATGATTTATGCTGTGGTTTCCAGCTCTTCCATCTTATGCTACATAAAACTGATGTGGGATGCTGTTTTCTCTCAATCTCAGGACTGTTAAACTCCTAGGTTTAATTTGCAGTTCAAGTGGAGGACAGGAAATTCAGACTTAGATTTTTGTTTGTAACCCATGAATACACTTTTTTTTTTTTTTGAAGTCTTTATTAAATCTTAAAATGTGACAGAGGAAGCTGTGGGGGAGTTCACATGTACCTCTCCATCAGCAATTAACTGTTCTCCCACACGCTATTTGAGGGAAGAAAAGCCATTTTTGGTATTTTATGTTCAGAGGTGTCTTTGCACGCAAAATTGCTGTTAATCTATTATTAACCACTTCAGCTTCTGAGTGTTGGAAATTTCACTGTAGAAGTGAATTTCTATTTTCCTTGACCTTTGTTTCTTTCTCTCCCTACCACCCAAATAGCTCCTAATTTGAAGTGTTAAAATGCCTGCTGAAAGTACATAGTGAGTGAAACATTTAAAAGCATGGAGTGAGAATTCAACCACCTTTTCCATCACAGCTTTTTTTCTTGTCTAAAAGTCATGCTGCATTTTAGTGTCATTATCTGTGTTTTCTAAGGGTTAGCAGTATTCTAATGACACTTTGTGCTCAGAATGCACAACCATGGGTTTAAAATGAAATTAATGCCTGGCTGCCACCATGTTCCATAAAATATTTGCTGTGAGCATTGGCCAAGACTAAAATAAGTCACTTGCCTCTTTTGGGGGCCATTATTATCTAGCAGGGTGTTAAGAGTTTAAGCATACCTAGGGTAATTATAAATTATACAGAGTTAGATATTTGTTAGGATAGCACAGTAAGGTCAGTTAAAGTAGGTGGCTGTGTATAAGATGAGGGAGGAAGAAATTACACTGAAGGAAATTGCACCAAATCTTAAAGAGGGAGCCATTCTGGTTCTCTGGATAACTCTGCTGCAAGGATAAGAGGTATGGGACGAGTGATGGTTTTTGTCTTCACAGCTAAAGACCTCCCTTTCTATGCTCCAAAGAAGCTTTGACCACTTGAACAAGACTCAGAGCAGGAGGACTGAGAGTTAATACCTGCATCAGCTTTCAGTTCAAGATGTCAGAAGAAAGAAGATGAGAGCTGGAGGACTTGGGGATAGGGGTTTTCACTGTCATCTTTGGACTTTGGAGGCTCAAAAGCAGCACAGAATAAAGGTTGCTGGAGGAAGTAAGGTGGGTTCTGCATTCCTATAGCTCTGTGATTTGCCCCCAAGGCTAGCCCTGTGTGTGCTGGGGTTTTCTATTTCCTTGTGAGCGTTGTAGAGCTCTGTCCTAGCATGAATGAGCAAAGGCAGTTGTACTGACTGATCCATCCACAAATTGCAGAGGAGGGGGAAGCACCCTAAGCAGAGAGCGCTGTGTCTGTTTAATGCAATCTCAGCTTTTTGTGTAAACTTGAAAAATGACCATCAATCAAAAATGTTCTGGAGAAAAATAACAGGTGGTGGTTTGAAATCTACAGGATATTTATATGCTTCAGACATGTGGGTCCTGTGAAACAAGTCATCATCTTTAAGGATGATTTTTTAAAAAATGTTTAAATAAACAGGAAAGTGTCTGATACCTCTTTGATGAATCTCTTGGCTACTGAGCAGCTTTGGTGGACTTCCTTCTACCATATGTTCCTTTAGCTCTTCCCAAGAAGCCTCCATCCCCAGTATTTTCCTTCTATGAAGGGCTGTTTGTTTCCTGGCACAGTGCCCACTGCAGGGGAAGTGCTTTCTCTTAACTTGAAACTTTTCTGGGTAAGTTGACAGAAGTGAGATTAGGTCAAAAAATTAGAAGTGGCAGTGACCAGCTCAGGGACAGGGCAACTGCCAGGAGGGGTGAAATCCCTGCAGCCCATGAGGGTGGTGGATGGTGTCTTTGCTTTTTGCAGTGCAAACAGCTGGGTGGCTTATTGCAGCTGGAATGCATTAAGGAGATGCTCGTATCCTCTGGGTGGGTGGGTGTGGAGGCTGTGCACTTTTTACCCCAAAACACTGTTGCTTGGGGCAAAATACTAAATGGGGGTGGGTAAAATGTGTGCTGTATGGGGAAACACTTGCTGTGTGTCCAGCCTCGGTGCAGTAAAACTGCTTACGGGCCTGTGTACAATACCTGTCGTGGTTGGTCTAAGGGTATTTTTTTATCCTCGGG